TTTGCCAGTGAGCTCAAATCATTTCTATCCATTTTCCGTCGTTCTCGGGCGGTTGCACGTGGTTTCTTGCTCTGGTTGCGTTGCTTCGCTCCTTTTCCAACTCGGCCTTTCGTGGCAGCATTTTCTTGCCTTTCCACCAAGCCACGCCCTGCCCCCTTTCCGCGAGGAGTACTCCTCTTCCACAGCCCATACCGTGCTTTCTGGACAGTGCTTCCTCTCCCTCCCTTTTCTCCTCCTTCTTCTGTATTATTTCTCGCGTCAGCTGTTGCCGTTTCTCTCCTTCCCATCTTCCTCTCTTTGCCTGTTTTTTCTCCCCCTTTTATGTCATCAGACGGGCTTGATGAACTTGCAACCATCTGGACTCCGGAAAGTCGTCGGCAAGAAGGAAGAGGCCAGGGTAGATATGGAACAGGGGGAGGAAGAGGGGGAGGAGGGAGACGTGGAGGAGGAAGGGGGGGGTGACGAACGCGGCGGAAAAAAAGCATCCAGCCTCTCTCTTCCAGGTCGTCCGACATGGACCGTCCCCTTCCTCTGTGGTGGTGTAGCTAAAAGGTTGGTCAATGACTTACAGTCTTTCCTAAAGAATGGCAATCGTCGAAGGAACGGAGGCCTCTGAATGGAATGGGGCAGGGGGAGGAGGTTAACTCCTACACTTGCTGCCCCGTTTTTACATGCGATAGATACTTGTGGAGTCGTTGTGATATGATGGATCACACAGGCATACATGTGTTTTGTGTGTGAAAGCTCGCTATTTTTGCCCAATATCTCGAGGCACAGAGGCCATGGAAAGTGAGGAACGAAAGCGTGCTTGGGACACGCTGTCGGTCAAGAGCACGTTCGATCCAAACATATCTCCACGACTCTCGCGTCTTCTCTTTTCAATGTTCCTTCTTTCAGTGGTTCACGTCCAACCATTTTTCTAATCCCTCCCTGACCATGCATCTCTCTGTCTTACGCCAAGCTATTACCCCTACGACCGAGCAGCGTCTCACGTCTCCTTCTTCACACTACGTGTCGTACAAATCGTCGCGTGGCGATAGAATGAATGCACGAAGGACAACAACGGGAAACAAAGGAAGGACAGAGCATGGTACTGAGTTCTCCCTTGCTGCTGCCATAGGACATTCAGGCGTCAGCTCGCACATTTTATCCACCCTCGCCTCGCTTCACTCCTTTCCTGCCTCGCACAGGCAGCAACCACTTCCAACGATTAATTAAGAATCCATCCACACCGAAGGTCGACAAGCTGCTTTCCATCTCTCTGTCTCTGCCTAGGTCCTCCCTTCCAGAGCCTCCTTCTCAAGCGCAAACCTACTCCCCCCGGCCCGCAGCCTCCCCAGCCTTGCGAGACTCGGATTGGATGTAAAGGATGATGAGGAATGCGACGGGGACAAAAGTGCCGAGGAGAACTGCCAGATAGGCCGCGAAGGTCACCTGCGAGGGGTGGAGGAGGGAGGGGAGGGAGGACGAAACGAGTCAGCTCCGTGGAGGTTGTGCGCGGGGGAATGACGATCGTTGGCAACTTTATGCAGGCGGGAGAGAAGGATGGGTGCCACCACACAGGGTCACGTGCACCCGAAACCAGGAATACCCTTGGGCCAGTGAAGGGAATCGTACCTCCAGGGAGACAGTGGTGGAGGGGAGCGCAGTCATGATCTGGTCTGTGAGAAGGGTGGGGACAAGGGGAAATGAAGTGGACACGGCGAAGAGTGCATAAGAAATAGGAAAGGTAGGCTCAAGGGCCACTGGTAATGGGTGGATAGGCTCGACGGCCACGGGTAGGAGGCAGAACGAGTCCCGCCCTCGTTCCCTCTTACGCATGCCTGTCCTTCTCAAGAGTGCATTCCTTCTCCCCAACCGGATGCCTCCCTTGGACGACACGGGGAATCAATCATGTCCGCTTCCCTTCCTGAAACTATTCAGACAATAATCACCCTATTTTCCAACCCTTATGCCCAAGCAAAAACCCTTACCAGCAGCGAAGGCAGGGGCGGCAAGTGCGGCGGGGGCAAGGCCTGCGACCACTGCGGGAACATCGAGCTTCATGCTGGTGGCAGCCTTGCGGCCGGCGGCAACAGCTGCGGGCTGGACGAGCTTACTGGTGGGGACGAAGGCTTGGGCGCTCTAAGGGAGTGAAGGGAGGGGAGTGAGTGGGCAAGGTGGAAGAAGGGCGGTAGGCCCGGGGGTGGGGAAGAGACACAATGTAGCCCCTCTGTGCGCCAAAACCCTCCTGAGATGAATTCTGATGAGTTTGTATGTAAGACATGGCCGTACTCTCAACCACTTTTGCGTTTATCACGCACAAAACAGAGAAGGGAGAGCATAGTCCCTTCCTCGGTCTTCGTAGGGTCCCCCAGGGACCAAAGGGGAGGAACAACTCGCACTTACCAAAGCCAAAAGGGCGGCGATGGCGGTGACGAAGAGGATGGACGTACGAGACATGATATTTAAGCTGTGAAGTGGAAGAAGTGTCTGTTTTTTGTGCGTTGGTCGTAATGGAGACGATAGGCTTAGCACTTCAGATTAGCTTGAAGCAGCAAGCGGCAGCAGCAACGAAGGCAGGCGTGCAAATATCGCAATCTTCCCCTTTTTTCGATATTCGAGATAGAGTACATGATTCTTCGGGCATCTCTCGTCCGGCCATGCGCAACAAGGTGGTGTCCGCAGGGAATATCTGAGGGGGTCCGGCACGCAGAAGGCGACAAGAGAGCGCGTACCCCTCCTGCATATCCTAGAATCAACAACGACTTAACCACACAGAAGGGAATAGCAGTACACTTGGAGCGATAATTGATGAAAGGGCTCAGCGCGAGTGATGACCAGATAGGTAACATAAAGCGATACGTGGTGCTAGGCGAGAGAGATGACCAGACATGCCACTCAACGACACGCCCACCGGCCTCATCCTTGCGTCGTGATGGCTGAAAGTTTCTCCCAGTGTGATCTCCAGTCATTGCTAGATGCCGAACGAGGTGTTCAGGAAAAATTTACTCAATCTTGCGGGAGCTACCTGATTTTGTGAAATATCACACCATCTATGTTAACCTCCTCCCCTTTTTATCACTACCCTCTGTCCGCTTTTGGCCTTCCCGTCGCCAGGGTGCATGCTGAAAAATGTCTTTTATCAAAATATAAAATCCATCTTAAAGCGTGGACTTCGCAGTCGCATCTATCTGCTCCTTGCGTCGGCTGTGCCTTTCTCGTCCTCCTCCGCCATCTCCTCCCTTCCTCCTGCCTCTCCCCAACACGTTCCCCTGGCCCTAGCTCGCCCCCTGTCCACCATGCCGGCGAATTCGGCATCCCATTCTCCTCTTTCCCGTCGTCTCTGGCGCGCCTATCATCCGCTGACCCAAGCCGTGCTTCACCATCCTTTCGTCCGCTCCATCGGGCAAGGCATATTACCCGCCGAGACATTTCACGCCTACGCAGCCCAAGACGCGCACTTTTTGCAATCCTTTGCCAAGGCCTATGCTTTCGCGCTGACTAAAGCTGAAGATCCGGAGACGGTCGTCGCGTTGAGTGGAATGATTGCCGATGTCGTGGAAGAGCTTCGGTTACATACCACCGTTTTGGGTGCTATAAAGCCAGAAGCGGGGGAGGCGACGAGCTCAGAAAGCGGAAGGGTAAGCGTGGAAACGCAGGACCATGGAGGAGCCAAGCAGGAAGAAGGTCGGCAATCCTCTTCCCCCACGTCCGCCCTCCTCCCAGCCTCCTTCGTCCCCTCCCCCGCCTGCCGCGCCTACACCACCTTCCTCCTCCAGCATGCCAGCGACCCGGGCGTGGGCGTCGCCCAGATATTGGCGGCCATGACGCCGTGCATGCGCCTTTACGCCCATGTTGCCCGTCGATTGATGGAGGAGAGAGGCTCCCTCGGCGAGGACGAGAAGGAACGATCGCAGGCTGAGGGCACCGCGGCGACTTCCTTCCCTACCTCTTCCCCGCCCTCCTTCCCTCCCTACCTGCAAAAATGGCTGGAAACGTACGCAAGCACCGAATTTGAGGCAAGTGCTCTGGCAACAGAATCGCTATTGGATTCCGAAGTTGAAAAGGAGAAGGTAAAGAGGAGGAATAATCGAAGAAAGAAGCACCATGAAGGGCAAGGGAAGGGAGGGAAGGAGGACGAGAAGGAGGAAGAGGAGGAGGAGGAGGAGGAGGAGGAGGAGGAGGAACGGCGTTTATTCGCCCTGTACGGAGAAGCCATGGAGCTGGAATACGCCTTTTTTGCGGAGCAATGGCAGGAATCGCAGGAGTGGCGCGGCCTCGATCCTTCCGTCCTCATCACGGACTTCGACGGCACCTGCACCCTGGCAGACACCACGCACCTTCTGGCGCGCGCCGCGGGGCACTTCCAGAGCCCTGCTTCCACGGCAGAGCAGTGGAGGCGGTTGGAAGAGGGCTACCTCTCTCAGCTCTCCGGCGTCCTTGACCCCCTCCTGACGGGTCTTCCTCCCTCCGTCCCTCCCTCCCTGCCTCCCTCCCAGCCCGAGGCGAAGGACCTGGGTGGGGCCGCTGCCTTCTTGGCCCCCCTGGATGCCTTCGATATCAAGGCAGTGGCGGCGGTCAGTGACTCCCGGATTCTCAAGGGGATCGACCTCTCTCTCCTTCCCGCCCTCCTCACCTCGTCCTCCCCAATGCCTTCTTTTTCGCCCCCCCCCTCCTCCCTTCCTTCCTCCTTTGCTGCTGCCCTCGCCCTCCGTCCTTACTGCGCCACCACCCTTCGCTACGCCGCCGACCGCTCCTCGTCGCCTTCTTCCTCCTCTCTCTTCCACGTCCTCTCCGTCTCGTGGTCGTCATTCCTCATCACTGCCGCCACCGGGCTCAGCCCCGCCAAGGTCACTTGCAACCACCTCGTGGAGGAGGTAGGATCAGACGGCCGCCTTCTTACCACCGGGGCAATCGAGGTGAAGGTAGGAGGTCCGGGGGGGAAACTCGGCCATTTCCAGCGTTTGCTGCAAGGCGCGGAGGCTGGACCCGAGGGAGGAGGGCAGAAAGGGCGTGGACGGTCGTCCCCGTCGGTGTTTATCGGAGATTCGGTTACGGATGTGTTGGCGTTGATGGCAGCAGATGTAGGGATTGTGGTGGGTGAATCTGGGACTTTGAGACGGATGCTGCGAAGATTTGGATGGAAGATTCGGGGGCTAGTCGCATTTCCTGTCAAGAAAGAGGAAAGGGGCAAAGCCAGCCGGGTCGTCTACGCGGCCGAGGATTGGGCGGAAATTGCAGCTTTTTTGTATGGGACGGATTTAGTGAAGAAGATGGTGGAGGAGGGAAGAAGGAATAAGGGCAATACTTATTGCGGAGAATGAGTGGAGTCATCTCACGGTAGACACGGGATCAATGGGAGAAATGCCGCATGTGTTACTCGTGACTAATCGTACCAAAAAAAGTATTTTAAAAACAGCCTGTGAATTATTTTTCTGGGTATGTTTTTTCTTATGCTGTCTGCAGTATGTTTTAAAATATGTATGATTACATCTTTACATGCCTTTTTGTGCTGTGTCGCATTTTACTTTAAAAGCTTGTAGTAGCTTCCAAAATTAACCTCCCGCCCGGCCGCGTTTTTTCAGTTACCCTCTTGTACGGTGCTGCCGCTTGTCCCCGTGATGAGCGTTGGAAAACGTGTTTAAAAGGCCTACAGTGTCTGGTTGTATACGGCGTGATGCTTGCAACGATGCGGGGGGGTAAGTATTAGTGAGAGGCGCGATGTCAAGGAACGCAAACCACGCATCCACGGGGACTGCAAACCTCCCCCATCAATTAATAAATCGCATGTTTCGCTTCTTCTCTTCTATCAACATGAAAAGATATTAGGATGCCTAAAACCAATGTTGCAAGCAAACGGCGTGCCCGCGCTCGAGCGTCCAATGAACCGTACGCGAAATTTCCGAATGCCTGTTCTACGCAAGTTGTCTTGCCAGACCCGAAGCGTCCAGAGCTAGCAGGGACAGGCCTCCAAAAACCGTCACGACATCACAAAATGCTTCGTAGAATGGCATTTCTAAAAAGCATAGAAGAAAATGCGGCGGCCGCGTCGGTGGAAATGGCGGCTGGGATCGAGAAAGCTGACCGAAGGAAGAAGACCACAGGACATGGGGATGAAGCAATGCAGAGAGGTCTAAACGGCACAGAAATGCGTGTAAATTCACCATTTTTGGGGCAGGAGAACAAGGTACAGTAGTCGTTGATTATTAAGAGCACATTATGTTGTGTTGAGTGGGCCAATATCGAAACATGAAGCCCTGCTGGCGACTTTAAAATGCCTTATCTCGCAGACTCTTAATTATGTCTCTACTGTTGTCCTATATGCTTGACATTGACAGGCAGCGACCGGATCACCTGGAGCAACATTTGCGATGACATCGACAAAGAGGCATGAACAGAGGGTGTCAAATACCATCAAGACGAACGCAGCCAGGCAACGGGTCGCGGCAGAAGAGGTGAGGGAAAGACGTTACCCATTGCCACTTAAATATGTACTGCTGCAAATTTCTTCTTCGTCACTCTGTTTTGTAGCTATCTTTTTCGGATCCCAAGCTGCCTGTCGGTGTGAGACACTGTCGATTTACTCCTTCACCGCGTTCTCCACCTTACTATTAGCAACTTCCCCTCTTTCCATGCACGCTATTTTCCTTCTCATATCCTTATTCTCTGCTTCTCTTTTTCCAACAGATTGAACGTTTGAAGATGGTGACCTCGCACCCCGCTTTCAAGGCCGGTCCACATGCCGCCATCCGTGACCATCTGCGTACCCGGATAGCGGAGGGAAAATAAGTGGGGCAGGGAAAAACCCAATGGAAAATGCAGCCTGAGAGAGAGTAGATAAATTGAAAAGCAGGCATAAACTACAAAGCAAAGAAAGCAAAGACAGCGATGGTACGTATGATTGCAATATCGTGCTCTGCACGGAATATTCGCCTGTCACTTGATCTTTACTACCATTTATTGCTACCTAAATTTGTATATTATTTATGGTAGACACGTTGCAAGAAGCAGTGAATTGCTGTTTCATCTCTTTTTTAATTGGCTTTCAGCGTCCCGCTCTTCATTCGAACACCTCATAAAATTCCAACGTGATTTGGATGCGAGAGAGACCTACTTGTTCTGAAAAAGATAAAAGATGGTATTATTTCCCTTAATTTTTTAATTTATTCCTTCCGGCATGCTTTAATGCGATATAAAGCGTATTGTCATATAGTGCATGCTTGCGAGCAGACATAATCGATACTTACGAGATGGTCGATATTGGTATTGCTATTGATACTTTACCCACCAGTTCCTCATCCTCTGCATTCCGTGTTACTGCACAAGATCACATATAAGTTTTATTTGTTCCCCAGGGAAGTCATTAAGTCATAGTCATTAACGTCGGGGAAGTCATTCGTTCTACAACAACTCTCCAACCTCCTCCGAGCAAACCGTTTACGTGAGCCGTTTCTGAGCCGTTGGATTGCTTGCCTTTAGGTGTCGCTCAGGTCATCGCTTGCCATTCTCGTGGTGCCAGACATACCGAACAATGTTCCTTGAAGCTCACAATTCGTAATCTTGTGCTTTTTCTCCGCCTTTTTGTGGACATTAATTGTAACATTATTCATTATCTCACAAGCGAGAATTCTTTTTGCCTAGGATGAGCCGGAAGTTTGTTCGATTGGGCCGAGACGAAATTAACTGCTTTGTAACATTGCCCGTACACTCGCATATCTGCGTTAAGTGTGTTATTTATAAAATTACTCATAATATACACATCTAAAAGCAGGAGAACACTATTAGAGACTTCCTTGTGGTTTATGCCAGAATAAGAATACGAAAACAATTTTCTTGTATCCCAAAGAGGATAGCACGTTCGACCCCGCTTACAGGGAGCGTCAAGCGGGCCAACTGATCAAAATGGAACACTTATCAATGGGATCAGTCTCGGCAGCGCTTCCCGAAGGATCTCCAAAGGCTGTGGAGGTTGCGGTGACTGACATGACTTTCCTCCTCACTCCACCACCGAGAGGATTAGGCCTCGATTTGGAGGACAGAAGTTTGATTGAGACTCTAAAACGCTATCCAGAGGCATTCACAGAAGAAACAGTTGAACATTTTTTGAAGTGTCGGGTCGTAACAGCCATGGCGGGAAAGATCTTCGCCGTGCGAGCCACATCTTTACCCAACGTGGTCCGGGCAGTCAGTCGCTTCCTGTATCTTTGCAACTCGCATACCCGGAAACATTGGGATGAGTTTCGCGGGTCCGGCATGCTGGAAGAGTTCATGACGCGTATGGGTGTGGTTGTCGGAGAAGGACGATACCTCCTTGGAGAAGACTTGCTCCAGGCCTTTTTGCCTTTGCTCTATGTGGGCGAGGGCATGACTTCGGACGGAGATGGCATCGATCATTGCGGTGCCCACGTCCTATCCCAAGTGACAGAGGGGTTCCGAACTCCTCTCCACGCTCCTTCCAGCCACCAGCACGCACAGTCCCAGCCGCCTGCTCAGGGAATTACGTGTGAAAATGGCAGGCAAGGACCCCTCGTAAAGAACAAGTACGTTTACACGGCCCTGGTGATGGCCTTCCACAAGATCGCCTCCTTTCCCGCCCACGTCAACAATGAAGTCGATCCTGGCTGCATTGCATACTGTGCCACCTTCCTTGACGCTCTTATGCAGGTGATTTGTAGTCCAGGGAACATGCGTCCGATCATGCTGGCCCATCCCCTCATCCCGGTACTAGAGGACATAGGGCGCCTGCCCCCAGATATCACCAACAAAATTTGCACCTGGGTGGCTTTCCTCTGCACTTTCCACCGAATTGCTCCGTTAGTCGAGTTATGCGCACTTGTGGAGGCCGCAGGGGTGGTCTTTGAAAGAGCGTCGACTGGCCATGGGGTTGCACTAGAGGAAGGCGAGGAAAGGGAAGCGAAGGAGAAGCAAGGCGGCGAAGGCGCTGATGGATTCGCTCGCAAAGGCAGAGAAGCACATTCCTTCCGTGTCTTTAACCTCGTCTGCTCTCTGCGGCATTTGGTGGTCGCGACTGTCCGGGCTGATCCCAGATACAAGCAAGTGTGGTGCGACACAGGCTTGATAGAGACACTGATGATTGTCATTCGACCTGCGAGCAGGCCAGCAGCTGCAGTCATACCTCCCAGGACACAAGATGCTTGTCATATTAGCGGCATGGAGTCATCCTCTGGAGCAGGCGGGGCACCGGGGAAGGCGTTTGCTTCATTTACCGTCTCCTTGGCGCTTGACACCCTGCTGTGGGTGGTTCGCGGGTGTGGGAAAGCCGCGCGCCTGGTCGTCGACAACGGAGCGGCCCCTACGATATTAGCTTTGTTAGCTCAAGATACGCATTACGCCGAGGGAGTATGTTTGTGGAACGTACTAATGCGTGAAATGGCCGTGGCAATGACGTCTCCACCACGCAATTGGAGCGCGGGGTCTGGTTCGCCCCCTCCTCCAACCCCTTGCTCCCTACCTCCTACCCCGCTTGCATCCTCCAGAGACCTGCATGGAGATATGAATGGAAAGGTGGCAGAGGAAAGTACAGACAGGAGCGGAAAGGAATTCGAGGCTCTGCTGAAGATATTGCTGGACGACTTCGACGAACGCTTCATCTCGTGTCAGGCCGTCTCGGAATTACCGCCTGCCTCGGCTGAAACGAGTACAAACGGCGCCAGCGAAGAGGTAGTGAGGATGCTGGAAGCCCCGTTTGGGAACGGAGGCATGATCGCCATGGCTTACGTGCGGGCCTTGACGGCAACGGCTGAAGTCCCCTACCAGGCGCGAAACTGGTCGGAGACAGTCGGTCTCCACCCCCCCCTCGCTCTCGACGCTTCCGGAAAGGCGTTGCAGCAATGCATATTGGTGGTGCACGCCGTTCTCTCCCTGTTGGTCCCTCCCGACACCCTGGATGGGGTATGGGAACGACGCCTCGGAACTCCTCCTCCCTGCGTCGGCAGTCAGGGGGAAGTAGCTGCACACGGACTTCTTGAGACGGGGTACGATGGCTTTCCTTTCGTCACGCCGATTGTACTTGCCTCGATTCGGCGCCACCGGGGCCAAGCATTAAGATGGTTGGCCCTCACGCCTCCGGTCTCCCCCGGCCTCGCCCAGGCCTTTTCCCGCGTCCTGCAGATCCGTTGTGCCATGGTACGGGCGGGGGGAGTGGATCGGATCTTGCGGATGGTAGAGCAGTGCATTGCGCGAATGGAGACGGGAGAATGGCCCTTTCAGAGTCTCTGTCTTGGGCCAGACCGACGGCTTGCCTTCGGTCCCTTTGTGGGGCCCGGTCAGGACAAGGATTCTTACGCCTCTGGGGGGAACAGTCA